TTTTTTTTTTTTTTTTTTTTTTAAGACAGGGTCTCACTATGTAGTTCAGGCTGGCCTTGAACTCACTTTGTAGCCAGGTTGGCTTTGAACTTGTGGCAATCCTCCTGTCTCAGCTCTGGAGTGAAGCAGCATTTTACCAATACCAGTTCTCATTTTCAATCTAGGCGCCCCAGATTTTAATCTCTACTAGTTCTTTGTTTTTAACTAAAAGGAATCAAGACGCTTGAAAGGTATTTGGTTCTATGCTTTGGGGCAGGAAAGAAAAAATCAAAAACCACAATCCTGATATTCCAGGAAAAAAAATCTGTAATATGGTTCATATACTGATGGGAAAGGCTACTAAGACAAAGGAACAAGCTCACACTTCCAGGTTGTCCTGACTTGGGCATAAAATAATAAAAGTGGTTAATGAGAAATGCTGAGTTTATAAAAGGCCATGAGTTCATGCTTAAAGTAAAGCATAAAATAATTTTTAAAAAGAGCAATTAAAAAAAGTGAAAATGGAAACAAAGCTTTTTTACACCGGAAAGTGAGGGGCATAAGGGGGAATGGGATAAAATAAAATTTATTAATAAAAAATGTAACAAAATATGAAAAAGTAATTTTAAAAGGAGTCAGTATAGTGTATATGCCTAAAGGTGCTCAAGCAAAGCCAGGCGTGGTGGTGCATGTCTATAATTCCAGCACTTGGGAGGCTGAGGCAGGAGGATCGCCATGAGTTTGAGGCCAGCCTGGGGTACATACTGAGTTCAAGTCTAGCCTGAACTGCATGAGACCCTGTCTTCTCATAAACAAAAACAAAAACAGAGTGCTCAGGCAAAGTCCTCCAAGAAATTCTCTTCTTCTTTTTTTTTTTTTTTTGGTATTAGGGATTGAACTCAGGCCCTTGTGCTTGCGAGGCAGGCGCCGGAACCACTGAGCTAAATCCCCAGCCCTCTGTTTTGTTTTTTTTAAATGAGCTTTTTCTCCAGAAAAAGAAAGGTGTTTATTTGTATAGTATGAAGTTCATGTGAGTCTGTCCAAAAAGTCACTAAAGGCATTTATATGGAGGATCCAAACTAGTTGTTTCTCTAGGATATTAGTGCCTAACTCTGAGACCTTCAGGCTGTGTGTACCCAAGAAGAAAACAGAAGCCGGGGCTGGGGATTTAACTCAGTGGTTCCACAGCCTGCTTCTCAAGCACAAGGACCTGAGTTCGATCCCTGGTACAAAAAAAAAAAAAAAAAAAAAAAAAAAAAAAAAAAAAAAAAAAAGAAAAGAAAACAGAAGCTGAAGAAATTTTGTGCCAAATGCTCAAAATTTACCAGAACAAGAAGGCAAGAGTGCAGAAATGTCACGTTTAGAACTAATAGTTGGCCAGCTCACCAAGTTGCATGTATAAACAAAAAATTGTAAAATTAATTTAATGAACTTTAGTTGTCACTACAGGCAGAAAATGCTACATTTTAATTGAGTTAGCTTTAAATATTTTCAGCTTAGTGAATGTACTCTAGAGAGCACATTTCAGTTGTATGTTTCTGAGCCAAGACTTTATAGTTTTCCAAATAGAAAGGTCATGGTTTCTCTGGAACTAGGACAGCATTGCAAAATAGCCTTTTAATGAGCAAAGTTTAACAAATCAAAAGTTTAGGGATTAAACTTTCTTATATGTGGGCTTAGAGAAATGTTGCACAATAAGAATTTTCTGAGTTTAACCAAATTCTGAACATGTGTAAAATTTAGGCAGAGCTAAATTAAATTACTAATGTGGTGTACTCCACCCTCTTTAATGGCTTCCGCTTAGAAAATCCTACCATGAGAAATATGCTGTGTCCTTTGAAAAATTTTGTTCTACTTGAGTCTGATACAAAGACAATTCGAATACAAATTATTTTACAGAAAAAAATGGATCTCTAAACCTTAGAATTAAAAAAAAACATTAAAAAGTAGTGAATCTAGTTTCACAAGTACTTTTTGTTTTTAAAATTTCTAGTTCCTTCAAAGAGTAAAGGTTGCTAGTTCATGCAAATATTTGACTTATCTTTTCACACGGAATAGAGCAATTTCGGGAGTAATAAAAGTCCCTTTGGATACACTCATATAGCGCCCTCTTACGCTGTTCCAAAATAAGCCCCAGTCACAGAACCAAGAAGAACCATTCATTTCATAGAGGCAAGGATAGAAGCACAGAGATACAGCATCAGAGCAATGAAAGGATGGTAGCTGCCACAGGCCAATGCTTTCGGAAGGAGAGGTGGTGCTCCTGAGCCTCCCCAGGGAGCAGATGTCCTTGCTCATACCTTGCACACAGACAAACCTTCCCTGTCCACTGCACTGACACATAAGTGTCCCATAGGATTTCAGCCTGGCTAAGTTTAATTGTAGGCAACAAAAATGTGCTTTGGGGCCGAATATCTTGGTCATCTCCATAGATAACCTATAAGGTTGAGACGTTTCCAGGTACTATTTTTCTATTTTTTATTTTGCTGTCAGGCCAGGGATGTATCGCAGTGGCGCCGCGCCTGTCTGGCAAGGTTCTGAGTTCGATTACCGGTACTGGGAGCGGGGAGGAATGTTATTTTGCTGTCAATTCTATAGTGAAACGTTTTTCTGACAAAAACTTGAAAGATCAGGAACTGGACAGGCTGGTGTTCGCGTCGTGGTTCAAAACCTTAATGCCCCTTACCTGCCTTAGCGCGTTGCTTGTCTCCGCTGTACTACAATTCAGATCTGGAATGTCCCTCAAAGGTTGGGTCCCCAGCCGTGGCGCTACTGGGAGATTGTAGAACCTTGGGGGTGGGGGCTCTCATCAGAGGAAGTGACGTCACCGAGGGTGTGGCCTGAGGGGGCTCTTTGGATCCGGGCCTCTTTCCTTCCTCTTTCTTTGCCTCCAGGCTGCCATGGCCTTCTAAAACTTGGTACTTATAGTGCCGTAGTGAACCCAAAGCAACAGGATCGAGAGGTCATGGCCTGAAACTTTGACAGGGATATCCAAAATAAACTCGTACCCCTTTTATTTTGGGTCGGGATGACACTAAGTTGTCCCGGCTGGCCTTGGACTTGTTATCCCTCTGCTTCAGTCTTCTGAGTACCGGAGATTACAGGTGTGTACTACCTTGCCTGGCCTTTATTTTTTAAATTTTCAGTGCCGGGAAACACTTGCGAGGCAAGTGGCCTACCGTTGAGCTCAGTCCCCAGCGCCAGCCTTTCTTCCTCAATTATCTGTCATTTTGTCACCATACTGGAAAGGTAACACCATTTCCAAGTTCTTGATTGTCCTTGAAACATCTTGAAATAAAAGTTTCCCAGTTGAAATAAACATGCATGGATGTATAACAAAGGACAGAGGAAATTGTACAAACTTGTTAATTTATTACAAAATGTCCACTCACAGAAAAACAGAAGAAAACTTTTTATATTTTTATATTTGGGAAAAGAACTGGCGCCTCAGATACAAAATAATTTACACATAATCCATACATTTTTATTTTATATAGAAATAGATCATTATTACAACAGCTGTACAATTCACTACACTTCATCTTATAATTACATAAAATCTTTTCTTTAGAAACATCCCAACATAACAAAACATACAAAAAAGCAAAGTGCATTTGAAAAGGAAAATCCAATCCTTGGAATCATCATGAATAAGTAGAGACACCCTCACTCAAGGGAGGACCCTGGGGTCTATACCCCTGGGGTGGGGGCCTGGCCTAGGAAACCTCTTCCCTCTAAGAGTTCTCTACAGAATTCTGAACCAGGTGCTGCAAGACTGTGCTTTGCTTGAAGCCCACCTTTGTAGTTGCAATGAACAAAGTAAACAGGAAATCGTCCAGTGTTATATGTAAGGGAATCACCAAGTAGGGAATGGGCTGAAGAGCTTCATTCCATTAAGGTTGGGGTCTGCAGCGGGAATGGGTCTACGGCTTAATTAAGAACAACCAGACTTGCTGATTGGTGGGCTGTTTTTGTTGCTGTGGACTCCAAATAAAGTCATGAGACATTATTATTATTATTATTCTTTATGTATTTATTTTGTTACCAAGGATCGAACTCTGGACCTTGCGCTTGTGAGGCTGGTGCAGCACCACTGAGCTAAATCCCCAGCCATGTTATTATTATTTTTTTTGTGGTACTGGGAATCGAAATCAGGACCTTGCACTTGCCAGGTAGGTGCACCGACACTGAGCCCAATTCCCAGCCTGAGATCTTATTATTATTATTATTATTATTATTATTATTGTTACTA